GTGAGTAGCTCTATAGTCTTTGTAAGAAGAAATATTTTTCTCACAAGGAAGAGGATATTGGTAAATAAACATAAAGCTTATAGTTTTTAATTAATATTCACTAATACTTTTTCTTTAGTTTTCTTTCATGTGAGTGATGAAATTTTTTGGCTTAATAAAAATGTATTTATCTCTCCTTAAATTCCCCTTTTTGTTTGATATTTGGGCAGAGCAGCCTTTTGAAAATTAATGAAGAAAATGCTACACTGCATTATAAGTATGCTGGCCTGATTTACATCAGCCATAATTCTCTGCAGTTAGTTTTCTTTATGGAATGTTTGATGACTGTAGAAGACACAGATTAAAGAAGATGACAGGGTCTCTGCTCTTGGACAAAAGATGTAGTGAGGTGGGCATACAAACGAGTACTTGTGTGCTACATAGAGGTTGGTTTTAGGGCTGCACAAAGTAAGTGAAAGCCTAGAAGGTATATTTATTTTTTTTCCTCATTGAGTTTATTGATACGTTTTAAGTATACGGTACAGTTACATTCATCATCAGGATCTTGTACCTTTACATGACAGATCTTGGTTCTCATTTTTTCCCCTTATCCCTGCCTTCCCTTCACTCTCCCTCCCTACCCCTTTACAAACACTTCATTTCCATTTCTTCATTTTCTCATATTTTTCTTTTCCCTTATTAGCTTGTTACCAGATGTCAAATAAAGTATTCCAGAAGCTGAAATATCTGAATTTAAGCATTGCTCCCACAATCTTTCCTTGCAAATGGTCCTACTAAGCCTAACACTATTATTATTGGATATGTCTATAGTAGTCAGTGTGCTCTAGAGAAACAGAATCAATCATGTGAGTGTGTGTGTGTGTGTGTGTGTGTGTGTGAGCTCAAGATTGTTAAGGATGTAATTTTAGGGTTGAATTGACAGAAACTGGTCACAGTTTCAGGGAAGGAGATACTAGAACATTGGAGAAGGGAAGAGAACATGAATATGCAGACAGTATGAGGGAGAGGAAAAAAATCCTTGTACTGAATTTCCTAGGTTGGAAGAGGCAGTGAGTGCTTCAGAAGTTTCAGAAAAGTCATAGAAGTTGAGGCTTTTGTGTGCTTCCTTTGAGACTTGAGTTGCATTTGGGAACACAAATATACAGAATGGAAAATGTGTCTCTACTAGTAGGAGACATATGATGTTATCTTACAGGCAACAGTGAAGCCAGATGAAAAGATGAGACCATCTCAGGAAAATGTGTAAAGTTATAAGGAGTCCTAAAAGTATCAACATAACTTGCTGTATACATATTTGATTGCTTGATTGCTTTTATAAAAGTAGGGTCATTTGTGAAACAAAATAAATGGAAACATTTTACTGAGAAATCTATGAGATTCCCTCCAAGCTCTCAAAAGTAAATCGTCATTTGTTAAGGTAATAGAACTTGCTAGGTAGGCATAGCTGCGTAATTGACAAGTGAGCTCAAACCGTTTGTTCTCCATTTCTCATCTGTAGACAACACAATCCCATAACTGGTCTCACTATGTCCACTTTTCCCTCACTGAAAAAAATTCTCTACCTAGTAATCACAGGTATGCTTTTGACAATTAAATATGTTCTCAATCCTTGTATAAAATCTCACTTCTTTCCTCGGCCCCTGGCACCCTCTCTTCATGTCTTGCACACCTCTCCCCCTTCACTTACTAGGCTCTAAACAAGGGGTACTTGTTTTTGTTCCTGCCTTAGAGCCTGCCTATATGGTAACTATTTAGTAAATATTTATGAAATGCGTGCCTGTCTCTGCCTTGATTTGTTGTGAGAAGCAAATATGAAAACGCATGTGATGAGCCGAGCACTGTGTCTGGTACATTGGAGGCTGCAACAAATACCACTGTTAACCATTCTCAATAGTGTTTTCCCATTCTGTATTCTTGATCATTCTCTGTCCTTTTCTGGTCAATCTGCCTACCCAATTCTTCCCATCATCCAATTCACTGCCTTTGGCATCTTCACAGGCTGCTTGTGGGTTGACATGTTTTTCCCTTCAGTTGTCATTTGGTATAATTTCATCTATTTCTTGGGCTTTTCCATATCCATCCTCTCCTATTTATAGTAACTTCTATAGTTATATAACTTCCTATAGTAACTCCATTTCCTATTTTAAATAAATAATTATATGTGGATTCTAGGTCCCAACGATGCTGAATGTGTAACAGTCTTCCTGCTGGAAATTGCCAAGGCAATGGAAATCCTCTGGCGACTTGGTTGTAAACAACCTAGGGAGTGCACCACCCATAAAGTGTTATTCCAGTTGCACCACTGTCCCACTGTCCTGTGGATCTGACATCAGCATTTCAAAAGTGATGCCAACATCAATTGAACACCAGCTCTGAGTCAGGCGGTGTTCTAAGAACTTTACATACATTACCTTAATTTTTGAGTTTGGTTTTATTACTATTCATGTTTTATACTTACCAACTTGCCTAAGGTCATACTGCTACTGATTTGCAAGTTAGGATTTAAGCCCAGGTGGTCTAATTTCAGATTCCTGCCCTCTGCTATGCTTTCATATTCCGTAGTGCCTCAGTAGCACTTTCAGGGGTCATAAAGTTAACTTTTATTCTTTAACGAATGTTTGATTCAAGAGTTTTTAAGCTATAGTTTTTAAAAATGTATAATATTTCCTCCTTTTCATTTCCTACCCTACCATTCAAATCTCATTTCCCTTAAGGCAGAGACTGTTAACCATACTTTCAGAGTTGTTTTTTTATCGTATGATTTTGTTAAGCCTCACGGTATGTTTGCAATTCTCCTTTCAGTATTTTGTTTTCAGAGAAGTCAGCTTAATTTTCAATTAATTCGTATAAGTTTTAAATACATATGGTTCAGACAGAACTTGATACATATACGTATGTAGGTGTGTCCACGTTTATGGCTGTGCATGTGTATTTGCACACATAACTGGGCTCCAGAAGAAAGGTGTCCCACCTGTGTCCAAAGCAGATTGCCGAAATTAATGAAATTCTTACCCGTTTGGGACCTACTGATACAAGTCTGTATGTAGACTTATTTTTATTTGAAATCTCCAAGCTGATAGATTCTTTAAGTTCCTATGACTAAAATTGTTGCTTGACAATTCATCTATGACTCTATCACCTTGATGCTCTGAGAAAAATGAGCAACAGCCCTTCCTGGCTAAGGAAATGGGTCCTGTTGCTCTTTTCTAGTCATGGCTTTATAGATTCAGGAATCAAATATTGCCTGAACTATGTGATGAGTGTTTTGTTTCTAGATCCATATATTTTTCTTCTTTTCTCTTTCTGAAGAACTCTGTAATTTTTAATCAGCAACAAAAAAATGCATCTATGTAAATGACCATACTTTTCAGCATGCAGAACATTTTCTTTAAAAGGGAGGTCACCAGAAGCAGAGAGCATAGAAATCCCAGATGGCACTAATATTTGATTTCATTTTTAGCACGCTCATATTCAGCAGATGGATTGGAAGGCTGACCTCTCTGACACTTCTGCATCACTGCCTGCTACTCCGATTGCCTTTGCGAATGTTTTTTCATAAGGCTTCTCCCTGGTACCTCAGAGATTGATGCCTGGTTGCCTGCCTGTGCTATGCTTCATTAAGCCAAGGCTCAGTGTGCTTGAGAGTTGCTGTATTCTATAAAAGGGGAAATCCTAGCTCATCAGTATCTCAAACTTTTCCTACAATCTCTTAAATTGTGCGTTACTTCTTGGAGTGTATTGTCTTAGCTTTCTAGGTGTATTTCTGATTTGTATGCATCTCTAACTTATCCTATTCTAATTTTTCTCCTTTTTTCTGTGCTATGGTTAAATTTTAAAAGTACCAACAAATCTTGTAGAAAAGGCTGAATGTAATGCCTTCCAACACACCTACAGAACACAAAATTTGACTGTTTTAGTATGAATATTGCCAAATGGCTAAGAGCACAGACCTGGGTAGGAATTCTTTACTCACCATTTCCTAACTTCAGAGCAAACTTTAGAATAAACCCAGTTTCTTTTTTTGTGAGCTAATGCTATTATTAGTGCCAGGCAGTTAGGATTAATGTGAAAATTACAGTAGTATATATCAAGTGGTTGTCTCAATAGCCAGCATGGAGAATATGCATAAAAATGTTTGAGGTATGCATAAAATTTTTTTTGTGTATATATATATATATACACACACACACACACACACACACACACACACACACACACATATACTATAAAATCTAAGAGATGAAATAATTTTGTTTACTTTTTATTTGGATTACAAAGAAAGCAAATTGTTAGAGTTTTTAATAATTGATGTTGTTTGAAATATGTTTGAGGTATGCATAAAATTTTTTTTGTGTATATATATATATATACACACACACACACACACACACACACACACACACACACACATACATATACTATAAAATCTAAGAGATGAAATAATTTTGTTTACTTTTTATTTGGATTACAAAGAAAGCAAATTGTTAGAGTTTTTAATAATTGATGCATTGTTTGAAAACTTTCTATAAAATTATTCCTTTTTATAGACCATTGCATAATCCATGCATCTATTTAGAGATAAACTCTAGAAATGCACCACACTCTGCCTTTCCCTCCCAACTTGACCAACTAGTTTATACGTCAGTAATGTGGCTAGAGAAAAGGAACTACCAGAGGGTGTGAATATCCAGTAGGTTTTGTTTGTTTCCCAGCAGGTAGATCTGGGTTGCTGTGCTGCAGAGTTTTCTGGAATCACTCAGCTCCTGGGATTAGGTGGCTTATGTTTTTTTGTTTTGCAAATTCCCACACAACCAGAGTGTGATGTGTGTTTTCCTGGGTGGTACACTTTTGCATCGGAAAGAACTGCATATTTAAACTTTTTTTGCTTGAATCAGATCTCTACCCAATGCATTTTTGATGAATTTAGATGTATTTAGGTGCAGAGAATGCTGCTTTGTTTTGAAATTTTTTTTAAGAAGTAATTTTTTTCATTTTTACAGATCTAACATAAGGCCGGACTACGCAGACTCCAACTTCCATGACTTCAAGATGCACACCTTCACTCGGGTGACATCCTGTAAAGTCTGCCAGATGCTCCTGAGGTGAGTGTGCTCAGCCTGCTTCTCAGTTTACAGGAACTGGTGTAATTGCTAAGTGCTTCAGACTTTTCTAGCATTCTAGCCAAATTTTTCTAAACTGGGGATAATGCCTTCATGGTTTGGACCCAACTGATCTTCACTAGGCCTTGGACATTGCCTTCATTGGCCCCAGGAAAGACCTATGCCTTTGCAGATGGCACTTCAGTAGCATGGTGATATATTTCCCCGCCCGCTTCTGAGCTAATGATTTCATAAAGGAAGAATTTAACACCTTTTAATATATCACTCTCTAATTTTACCTTTCAGAGGAACTTTTTATCAAGGCTATTTATGTTTTAAGTGTGGAGCAAAAGCACATAAAGAATGCTTGGGAAGAGTAGACAATTGTGGCAGAGTGAATTCTGGTGGTAAGTTATGTTTATTGTTGGGATTCTGTTAATGAGGGCATAAAACTTGCTAAATGTAATTAAAGGCCTAGTTTACTCTTAATATGTGTTTTATTGTAACATATCTTCTGTTGAAACTGTTAATTTTAAGCACAATTAGAAAATTGCATAAAATCATATGACTTTTCTGCATGATTTTGTGTGTACCTTGGAAATGAAGATCCTCAGGTGGCACTGAGATGTTTTCATGTCATCCATTTCATTAACCCTTACCCTAAATACCACTATAATTGTACAGATATAGCTAATACAAATAAACAATAACAAAAACAAAAACAAAGATTTCCTTCTACCTTTAGTTCTTAATTTGCTTGTTTCTTTTCGAATATTTCACTTGGAATTGGTAATGATGCCACAAATAAACATCACACAGACTAACTCATGAATTAATGAAATGAATACATTGTCATTTTCTAGCATTCAACAAAGGACATATATTCTTTGGATTTTATGTAAATATTTTCCTCACAGTCTTTAAAAATAGTGCTCTATGATTTTTCTGTGAGCTGGTTGGCAATTATGCATTCAGTAGCCTTTTGCCTCTCCATGCTCTCTCCCTTCTCTTTCTTTTCTGGTGTCTTTATTCTTTCTCTTTCTTCTCCTTTCTCTTTGTCCTTTTCCCCTGAGTTTCTCTGTGTTTTATCAATAAGACCTTTCAAAATCAGTAGAACTTTTTGAACACAAGAAAGAATCTTTAACAGCTTGAGTTCAAAAGGTAGCCATGTCAACCTTTGATTTTCCCAAAGGGAAAGATGGACATTGAATTATTTTGGATAATATGAGGAAAGGAAACAGAGAATAGCCCAGTTCAGAACTGAGTTCAGAAAATGGGGAATTGTAGAAAAGGTGAATCCTGTTAGAGGAATATCACAGCACATTCCTCTCACTTTGCTCCTTCAGTGGACATTTTTATAGGTCATTTTAGGACCCTGTGTGCCATTAGCTGTGCTAGGCCTGAGCAGCTGCAAGAACTGCATTAGCTGAGCACCTGCATTGTGCTTTTCCCCTGCTTGGGTGCTGCAGCATTTTCCCCGTGTGAGCTCCTTCCATCTTCAAAAGAGACCTTTCCACTGCTAATGGATCAGAGTGCTTGTGCATTTTGCTCAGGGTTGTGAAGTGAAACCGGATTGTCTCTTATATATGTCTGAAGATCAGAAATGGTTTACAAGGTTGTAAAATAGAATATTGCACATTATTACTATTATCCTTTGTTTTCCTGAAGCAACTTATCACTTAACTCTTGTGACTCCATTTTTATATGTCCCATATTATTATCTCTTTGAAGATTAGCAGAGCCATGTGTTTGTATAAATACCACAGCCCTGGCTCAAAGAGTTAGAATCTGTGAAGGACATAATGTCATCCCATGGTTAGCATGGTCTTTATGTCTTGAAGAGTGGAATATGGGAGAGTAGTTGAGAGCCAAACAGAGATGGTTGAAATTCTGGCTTTCTTATTTACTGGCTACCTGACCTTGGCGGGAATTGATGTGAACATTCTGAGCTTTAGTTTGGCCATCTTCACAGTGTAAATTGGAGGATTATTGAAGGTTGTAATGAGATCATAGGGATGCTTAACAAGGTCCCAGGGTGCAATTAAGAACTTGCTTTTTTAATGTAGGGTATTACTGTAAGAAGTCAGTCTTTTAGAAGACATAGTCTTTCTGCATTTTTGTTCAAAGTCTGAAGGTAATATGGATAGAAAAATTAAACTTTAAAATGATACACAAGTGTGACTTCAAAGGATCTTAACAATTCTAACTTTTGTATTAAAAAGTCAGTAGGAACCAGTTGGGAGCTCCTGGTCTAGCAGGATAGAAGAATGAAGTATAGCCAGTGTCTGATCCTTATTAGTTCAGTGTACCCTGCCATAGATGAGTCATTTTACAGTGACAGTAAGACCTGTGCACTTTGGAGTCTTGGTCCGGTTTGATTCCTGGCTCCTCAGTTCACCCTCTGGGTGACTTTAGACCCCACTTATTTAAACTTTTTAAGACTCCAGTTATTTAAACTTTTTAAAACTTTAAAAGTTTTCATTTCTTCCCTATAAAATAAGGATGATAATAACACTTAGCTTTTACATTTTTAAATAAATGTGTAGTATCCAGTAAATGCATTTGCCTTATTAAATCACTTAGTGCTACAAACATTCTGTAATGTTGGCTGTGTTGATGTTCCTGTTTTTCAGACAAGAAACCAAGGCACAGAGAGTCAGTAGAGCTAAAGTCCAAATCCAGGGAGCCCAGCTTCTGGCCTGTACTCCCAGTCCTGGCAGTTAGCTATGAGGGTAATGTGTCAAGTGCCCAGGACCTACTTCTCATAAGCCGTCACCTTTGCTTCTTTCTGTGAAAAGAGCAATTTTCAAATAGTTTTTAAAGGCAGAAATACTTGGAATTTGAGTAAATTAGTAAGTACCAAATGTTTGTATATGAGAATGTCTCCAAGTGCTAGGAGAGAACCTGGTATCCCTAGGGACTGCGCTGCTCACCTCAGATCTCCCAGGTCTTAGGACATGATACTTTCAGATCAAGGGCCCCTTCTTTTAAGATGAGACATTTGAATCATAAAATTTGAAAATAAGGTAACTAAACATAAGACTCTTAGTGACTTGTAGATTCAAGATAATGTTTGGTCATTCAGATATCCATTAAAAGGTAGCACCGTTCTCAAAAATTTGTGATGTAGTTCATTATAAAACATGATAGTGGCTTTTTTGAACCTCTGACTAAATTTGCTGTTTGGAATTTTGAACAGATTCTCTTGCACTCTTGATTCTGTCTTTGCTTTCCATCTCCACCTTGACCGCCTTTCCTCTCTCTTTTGCATATCTGCTTTTTCTGTCTTCTCTTCATGTCCTTTCTTGTTCAAGATTTTGAAGAGACAAGTGACATTGAATTCTCACAGTCAATTAGTGGTATGAAATAAGAATCTGCCTAGGAGGCTTCCTTTTTTTCCTTCAGATCAGGATTTTCTGAGTAGCCCTTGTAACAAAGGGACCTTGTATTCAGGATGAAGAGGGATCTATGTTAGAGCAGCGTCAGCAGTTTTCTCCTCTCCTTTCCCAGGAAGCTGTCCTCTGAAAGTTGGGAGTCATGGTATCCTGTCCTCATACTCACCCTCCCTGTGCTGCTATAGGAAGCAACTGTGTGTAAAGCGTGAATTCGAGGCTGGTAGGTCTGATGTGAGTGTAGTGGAATGGGTGCTATTTTTGAGGCCGTGGGCAAGCCAGAGTTTATGGACTGTTTGGCAGTCTGCCAAGAATCTTAGCTTTGCTTAAGATTTTTGTAGGTCTTTATTTTGGCATCCAGGAAACATTGCTTGCAGTGAAGTAGTTTTCTATGGCTGTCACATGGAAATTTGTGTGTGCGGAGGGCAGGAGTGAGGAGAAGATACGTTAGGTGGCAGAGACATGGTTTACTTGAAACGGGCTTCTATGTGGAGGCAGGTGTAGTATCATTTCAGGAGAACTCAACTTTGAGAGATTCATTCCAACAGGCAAATTTAAAGCAGGTGAATAGTTCTGATTCAGATGTTCACACAATCCAGGTTCCCACATAAGTCATAGGTAGTTTGAAATTTACCCTAACTTTATAGCTCCAGTGCTTACCACAATTAAAATACGTTCTTAAGCGACAAAAGGATTCTGACTGGCTTAGTGTGAGTTAGGAAGTCACGTATAGGCCAGGGAGCTATGTCTAGGAGGAGTGGTTATATTGTAAATATTGGATGGGTGGGATGGGGAGCAGTCCCCAGAGGGCAGCCTGGCACCTTTGATCAACATTAGCTGGACAAAGGAGTGGCAAATGCAGAAGCGTCACTAATTGTACAAAATGATACAATAATCCAGGGATCAAATGAAGGCGAAAGAACCTTCCATTCTGCCTTCTAATTGTCAATTCCTATAGTGTTCATATTTCGAGGGTTAACTCTCTTTCTTTCTCTCTTATTTGACACTGTTAACAGTCTTCTCGACCTTCTCCTTCACATCCTTCATACCCCTCATGCTGTCCTTTGGAGATCTGATTGGTTTCTCTGGCTTTGGCTGCAACCTATACCTCAAGGAGATAAGGCTTCATCTCTACAAGTGACGTTTTTTCTGAACTCTGAATTTAGAATTTCCATCTTTTCTTCACTTGTCCTCTTCTAGGTGTCTCTCATGACCTCAAACACCATATATCTAAAACCAGCCTCATTAGTCTTATCATTTTCCTATTTTTTCCTATTTTGTCTGTTAAAATTCTTCCATTCACGTATTCACTCAAACCTTCCATTCATACATTAACCATTAACCACTGAATCTACTCATATGCAACTGCTATAGGTAATAAATCTCATTGTCTTTTATTAGGACCATTTCGAAAGTTTCATAGCTCTCTACTCTTAATCTTGCTCCTGTATAAGGTCTAAAATGACCTTTAAAAATCTTTAAAAATCAACTATGATTATGTCACTCTTTTGTTTACTCTGTTGTCTATTTCTAATAGAATCACGCCTAAAGTCTGGCATACAGTGCTCCAGATCATTGTTCCAGCCCTATTTTTACCACTACTCCCATTCCCCAATCCATAGTACAACTCTGATAACTCATAGTTCCCCAGCTACTTTTTTCATGTTAGAATACCTAAGTGTAATTTGTCTGTTTGATAAACGTATTCATTTTTGAATTCTCAGAGAAAACATGTCCCCTCCCTCTGAGAACTTTTTCTGACACTCTCAGTCCCTGGGCTTTCTTTGTCTGTCAGTTCTTTGTGTGGCCCTGGCTTCTTATAATTGCTTTTATCATAGCATTGGCCTCATTTATTTTAACTATCTTCTTGCTAATCTCTTCAGTTTGGCTTAATTATAAGAACCATAAATTATTACTGTTTTGACCTCAGGAAAGACATGGTACATTGATAAGCAAGTAGGTAGACCACCAAACCCATGCAAAAAAGAATGAGTAGAATGCAATGTACCAGGGCC